ACACGTTTAGATTGAATGGTCATTTATAATCAGTCACAAGAACGTCGAATCTGAATCACTTGAAAAAAACACGGGGGTGCTTAACTTTTTTCCAGGTGTATATTAGCCTACGAGCTGGTGTTGGATTGTGGTGACTAGCTGCCTTCTCTGTAGACTATCAGTTCAAAATTAGGCACTGCTATACACACACATAGATCTAGCTAGCTTTGCAAAATATTTTGAAACAAAAACAATAGTGTATAATATTTTATTGAAATTACACATTGATTTTCCCACTGTATTCAGTACGTATATTATGGGGTGGCTACGTACATAGAAAAAAACAACAACAGAAAATTGGAAAAACTATCTCAAAAATTGGGAAAGTCAGGAAAGATTCTGTCTCCATTTTATCTCAGATCCTGCATACGCACGCATAACATGTTGTTTAGAGTCAGTGAATTTCAAAAACGGATAAAAAAGCCAGGTAAAGACTGAAATATTATCCACAAAACTTTAAAAATCGGCGAATACATTTATCTCAGAAATTGTACACGCGCCCAAACCACTTTGTTCTAAGTAGAAAGGTTTGGAAGGAAAATAAAAAAAATCTGTGAAAATTATTCCAGAAACCTTGAACATTGAGGAAAAATTGTACCATGCCTTCTTATCTCAAAACCTGTACACGCATCCAGAACATGCTGTTTAACTATACCGATTGTAGGTATATTTTAGCTTAATCTTGCTCACTTACTTTATGTTACTTTGTCTGGTCGTGATTATGCAATTCATTATAACTGATGAGAGGTTGAGTCAAATATTATTTGATAAATAAATATGAAAACTTTTATTGGATACAATCAAGTTGAAATATCCGTTTGTTTGTTTGTTTTGAATTTCGCGCAAAGCTACACGAGGGCTATCTGCGCTAGCCGTCCCTAATTTAGCAGTGTAAGACTAGAGGGAAGGCAGCTAGTCATCCCCACTCATCGCCAACTCTTGGGCTACTCTTTTACCAACGAATAGTGGGATTGATCGTCAAATTATAATGCCCCCACGGCTGAAAGGGCGAGCATGTTTGGTGGGATGGGGATTCGAACCCGTGACCCGCAGATTGCGAGTCGAGCTCCTTAACCACATGCCCATGCCGGGCATATCCGTTTGAAGATCCTTTTTTTGTAATACCTGAACTATGACCTGAAGTTTTTATTGCCGTTTAAACTCAGGCTATAAGCTAAAGTGGTGTTAAGTAAGTAGACTTATAAGGAAAATTTGAAATACCAGTGGGTCATGTGCAGATGTGGAAAATCCGGATTTTTGTGTAAAGAGTTAGAAAACAAATTTTGGGAAGAATGTGGCCATCTTAATATAGGTGTCAAACCAGTTTGTTTGAATACCAAACTGTTACTTGATTGATATCATAACTCAGTACATTCAATACGTACTTATTTAATCGGGGTTCGAAACGCGCGTTGAGCACATTGCAGCTAATCGATTGTGTTTAAAAAAAATAGATGTTCTTAAAATTTTTTGTTCCTAATAATTTCGGACAGGAAATTAGTTGAGAGTATTTGTGAAACAAGAGGATAATTTACTAACAATCTGAATTTTTTACACAAATAACCACGTTTTCTGTTGTTTAATACTTATTAATTTTTACGACAGATTCTTAACCAATCATTTGAGCATTGTTACCAAAAGTAAATTATTAGTTGTTTTTAGGGGGGGGGGAAGAGTTGAATAAAAGATATTGTTAAGAGAAATATTGATACAGTAAAATTGTAAAATAATGTAAAGACAAAGGATACGACTTAAAAAGGGACATCAACGGGATCCGAAATCACGCCCTAAGCTAATTCGGTGAAACACTCTTAGATCTAAAGTGTGGGCTAATATTGCAAAAAGAAGAACACATCTACAGAACCATACAAAGCTGGGCATATCTGCTGGTACTGCTAACAAGATTTAACGAAGTATTTAAAGTTGACAGATGCTTACAAGCTTCAATATACACTTCAAAATCAATGGCTGTTTCCATAAGAACTGAAGTAGCTTTAATGAACTGTTTGTCTTTAGTCTGCTTATCGTGGCCTTGGAAAGTCTGTGGAAATTGGTATTGATGGTGTCGGATAATAGTTTGCAATAAAGGTCAACAGACTGCGTATGGTCAACAGTTAAAAAAATAGTGCTAAAGACAACATGGGACCTGAAGCATTGATCTTATAAACAGCGTTTAAATTATACAAAACAAGATGTGTTATGAACAACATAGCTTATTATAATACAATATTATTTGGCTTATTATATTATTACGTCTCTGAAGGTTTTTTATGAGAATTAGAGTGCATAATAGTATTTCATGTTCGTCATATCATCAACCTTAGGCGCTTTTCGCTCAATGCCAGAGCTCATCAGACTGGCTGGAATACAACAAACATATTAATGGTTAGAGCGCTGTTTAAAATAAGGCGTTTGAACCAAACACAACTTGTGTTCAGTGAAATATTGAATGGCTACAATATAATTTTAACTTAAAACAACACAATCATTGTAGTTTAACAAAACAGAACAGAAATGTGTTGACTGATGCACAGTCTTTGTACTTAATTTCATACACTCTAAATACACACAATAATAATAATAAACTGAGACATTTAATAGCATAAATTAAAAGTCGTATGCATAAAAACAATATTAAAAAAAATATATCCCAGATGAAGAACAGCTTGTTTCAACCATGTGCTACTACTAAACGTTTCAAAATGGAATTTGTCATAAACATATGACTTTTCAATCCAACAATGTGTTGGAATAAACATAATTTTAAATTGAAAAAAACACGACATTTGTGGTGTTACAATATGCAAAAAAGGCTGTGTGTTTATATTGATGCAATAATAATCTGTAAATAAAATGGACTAAAAAGTGTTATGAAAACCAAGTTAACTGCGAATGTTTTTTTTCACATTTCTCTTAGTTTGTTTGTTGTGGCTCAAAATCAGATATGTGTGTCTTTCTTTCTCCCACAAGTCGTTGCTCAAGAAGTTTTTCGTTTAATACTAAAGCTCATCAGTTGTGATGGACGATGAGAGACAAAATACTTTTTTTTTCTTGCCACTTCATTCCAGCCTTAAAGGCTGGCGCGTCATCAAATTGTTGTGCCTTCTCCTCAGCCAAGAAATGTGATGAAACTGACAAAAAATAGTGCAAAATGGACATGTAATAATAGTATTTCAGGAAAACTGGAGTGTGGATGAATTTATGATGTGGAAATGGAACTTATTTGTTTTTCAAAGAAAGAATAACCAGAAAAAGGTAGAAATAAAAATAAGCAACAACTACCTGGATAAATATAACTGCGTACATATGCCATTGGGATAACCATATAATTCGGATCATCAATTGTAAGTGGCATAATATACAAGTTTCAGAGATGATGAGCTGGTGAAAAGAGTCTATTGGAGGATGAGTATTCGTGCTCAGGACATCAGAAGATATCATATTTTGAGAGAGGAAACATCAGCAAACACATTTATTGCGAAGTTTGCGTAGATTTAAAAATATCGGAGGAAAAGTGATTCCATCATACAGCTCCTTTGTAGGACTAAGAAATGTAATGTTGATAACGATCCAAAGGGCATGTCATTGTGAAAAGTAAGTGAAGCAGAAAACGAGGTATTATGATTATACATGATACATGGTCGGATAAGGTACTTATATGTACAAGTATGTACAATATGTATATAAGAGAAAGGAGGGATTTAAACTCCAGAAGGTTTGTGTTAGGCATAGTAAGAGGTAGGTCGAGACATTGAATGGCCTTGTGATTGACAGCATTTACCCGGGCTTTCCAAACTAGATGTTTGTAGAAAATGACAAAGAGATATTTAACAGTGATAGAGAACTCAATGGGAATGTTTCTGATGCGAATGTTAAATAACAAATAGTTACGACATGTTCAAAACTTTAGGATTAAAAAGTATTGCTCTTGTTTTCTGTAACATTAAGGGTAAGACACCAGTGACAATTCCAAGCCATAAAAGTGTTTACCACAGCCTGAATAACCTTACCAAGAGCATATATAGTCTTAAAGTTGGTTACAAGACTAATATCATCTACATATTGGTGTAATTGGACAGTATACATTAGTTTAGGCATCAACCTAAAAATCATACAGAGAAAGCAAAAGAACTGAGCGTTGAATAATTCCAGCAAAAAATCGAACTAAAACTATTTCATTTCGATTACGTCTTGTAATGTAATGGAATACAATAATGCACCATCGTTAGTACTTACCGGAAAATTAATCTTCATTATACTTCACAAAATATATTTCGTCTCCTTAGATTTTTCGAGGCGTTTTGGTATGGAATTAAGATCCGGAGGAGCAACAAAGAAAGTAAGAACTACTATTACGATCGCTTCTGCAGTTACTTCTTAGATGCTGTTGAACTGCGATTAGCTGAATCATTCATGGAGTCTGCTCCACAGTTGCTAATTCAAGCGTTCATCCAGATTAGGATTATCCCTAGAAACGCACTGCAACCTACAGGACAAGCCTACAAAGACTGTAAGTCCTGATGTATTAATATATCTAAAACAAATCTTAATATGTTTACAGAATATTCTTTACATTTCTTTCGACTAAGAATGTGATAAGGTACTGTTATATTTGTAGGTGATATGAAAATATACAGCTGGATATTTGTTGTATCAACATTAAAATGTAAATAACTTTATTACTTTAATTAGCAGCCATATGAGTTAATATGAAGAATTTAAAGTGTAGTATCTGTATTAGTAATGACACTATAGATTGATAAACTATGAGTTGTATCTAAAAAACCTCACGGTCCGGCATGGTCTGATATTTAGGGCGATCGACTGGCAATTTGCGGGTCACGGGTGTCAATCTCTGTCGTCGAACATGCTTGCCCCTTCAGCGTTATAATGTGACGGTCATTTCTACTATTTGTTGATAAAAGAGTTGCCCAAGAGTTGGCGGTGGGTGATGTTGATTAATTGCCTTCCCTCTAGTCTATCGCTACTAAATTAAGGACGGCTAGCGCAGATAGCCTTCGTGTGGATTTGTGCGAAATTCAAACTAAATAATTTTACATTTAATTAGATAATACATATTTAGGATTTCCACTTACATTAGATATCGATTGGTAATCGCAATCGTAATATAATAATTAATACTTGTATTATTGTAACTAAAACGATCAAATGTTGTATGTAATAACTCAATTTTAACTTCTAGTAAGAAGCTATGTTAAGTTTTTTTCTTTTTTCTTCCAGTTATTGTGCGATTCGTGTCAATAGTTTCATCTCTAGTTTCCTTGGCCTGGTCTCTGGTCTCCTATTACAGCGGCCTGTTTATGAAATACAAGATATATTTTAAAATGAAGATTAAAATATTCATGTTCCTATGGCACTTTTTTACCATCGCTTCCCGTGTGATGGCGCTCGTTCTTTTTGCTTCTTTCAGTCTCAAAATTTTTAGTATCTACTGTGGACTGCGTGTAGTTTTTGTAATGTCGATGAATTTGGGGAAAGGCGGTAGAATCTTCAAGGGTAACTGGTAAAGAGTTTTATGTTTTTTCTCTTTATCGTTCTAATTATATGTAAATTTATTTTAATCCTTAAAGATATTTGTTGGTATCTTTTGTACCAATCATTATGTTTAATAAAATCAAGAGCAGGTTTATAAAATGAAGTCAAACCACTTCATGTACCAATATTCATACCACGATAAGTTAAATAATATAAATAATGTTAAAAGCCGTGAAATAAAGACTGTATGCTTGTAGGGAAGACAACATTATTACTATTACTTTTAGTTTAACACTT